TCACTTTGCGGATCTGCGGCTCGAAGCCCATGTCCAGCATGCGGTCGGCCTCGTCGAGCACCACGTATGTCACCGTCTTGACGTTGAGGTGACCTTGGAGGTACATAGAAATAGTAGGTTTGTTCTCGTCGAAAAACAAACAGTCCGAAACCATCAGGAGCATGCGCAGTTTCACAGAACTGTTGGTATTTTTCATGTTCCGTGGAACTGCGCATGCTTCTGATGGTTTCGGACCATTCATTTTTCGAATGAGAACAAACCTAGTAAGGTACCTCGTGTCGTCGAATATTTTGACTCCTACCTACAGCTTCAACTATGAGTAGGAGGTGGAAACTTCAGATATAAGTTGAAGGATTTCATTCATACTATATTTTGGCATTTCTAAAAGGAACAGTTGCGAATTGCAAAATGATAAAAAATAGTCCAAAGCAGTATTTTAAACTAAATAAATGAGATATGATATTTACTTTCCCAAAATGTGATATTTACCAATATAAAATTTACCTAACCGAAATGTGAGATTCACCCACCCGATATATGAGACTTACCCACTTGAATTATTATATATTATTCTTGCTAGATGTTAGTGATATATACACTTCTGTTTTGTATAGTACTAAATATTTTATGTGAGGATTCCATGTTTTCAGTATGGAAAGAAATATCTATCTATCCATCTATCTATCTATCTATGAATACAAAATAATAGATTTATGGAATTTGATGTTTTTTATGAAATTTTTGTTATTTAATATTATGTAATCTTGTACTTTTATACAAAGTGTCCCGAAATTTCATAGATAAATATCAACCACAGATTTTAGGAACAAAAATAGTAAAAAAAGTTTATACAGGGTGTTTCAAAAAAACCTGACCCCCTTACTAGGGTAGGTAGAACACTGGAAAATAAGTTGGATTTACTTAGTAAAAAAATTCCGCAACGGCATCAGTTATCAAGATACAAGGTGTTGAAAAAATGATTTTTTACACATTTTTCAAGATTATGTTGAAACTACTGGCAACATTGTGATGAAATTTTGTATGGATTGTTGATTACTTTATAATACTGCAGGCAAAGTGAACCAGCTTCTGCCCAAAACTGTCTTCTATTGCAATTTTCATAAAGTTATTGACAATATCAATCTGACAAAATCAATCTGACAAACTAATATATTTTCCATCACCCTGAACACCAACAAAATACAGGGTATACAAAACAATAAATATGTAACATGGATGTTTCTTGGAATCTGACACATCTGAAGCATTTGTTTTTATATCTGACTCTCATAGAGGGCGCTAGTTACACGGTTTGTAGCGAGTAGTTTTGAACATAACTTTTTTGAGGTTAGATTTTTCAATCCAATTTTGATGTGAACTTGAACATCATTCAATTTCACACCAAAAAGGTACTCTTGGTAAAACTCGATACTGTGTTCCGTTTTCGGAATATTTCGATCTGGACCGTGTAACTAGCGCCCTCTAAGAGAGTCAGAAGTACTGGAAGTATCATTGCAATTGGCGAGTGGACTATTTTTTTTATTTCTCAAATAAAATCATCACTCAAATACTATTTGATTTCATATTATTCTAGAACTTTTCGGTCGATTTTTAGGTGCTAAAAACATCAATAATACCACGGTAATTTTCAAAGGTATAGAATTTTACCGCGAGTAAAAACTGACATCACGATTTCGTAAGTAGGGGTAGACCATAGTACAGTTGCCATGTGTTGAAATATGATTGGGAACTTCAGAAATATTAGTTATTCAAACCTATTCCTATAAAATATATCAATATACAATCAGGTGTCTCAAAATGATCCCTTATGATTTGTGGCTTATTTCACACTAGAGGACATTTGAAGCGGTGAACGTGACAACACTGCGCGCACGACATGTAGGCGTTGTCTTGTCCCTTCTCAGCATTCAGGACAATATTGCCAAGTCTCCAACATTTACATGAAATTTTGTTATGGCGTATTAGATATATTTGGACATGCTCAAAAGAGTCAAGAATGAACTATAATATCATGGGTTCCTCCTACTATGTTTTATTCAATGACAGGACTTCTTTCAATGACAGGACTATCTTTTTGATAAATTGCAATTGCAAAAATTAATCCAGGTTCCTAACAACACAGTGTAGAAATTGAATGCCATTTATAAAATGAAAATTGTACCAATTTGTAATGCTTCTCAAACTTTATTTTAATAATTACTGAAAAAATGACAGAGTTAGAGCTAAATGAGAACCTGTATACTTTGAATAACTCAAAAAAACTACCAGCTGTTGAAACAATGATCAAAGAAATCCGAATCTATTATTACTGACCTGCACACACCAAATCATTCAACCGTCCAGGGGTAGCAATGACGATGTCAACACCCCCTCCTACCACTTTGACTTGTTCCCTTCGATTGCCTCCTCCATACAAACAAACTCTGCAGGGAAACATTCATTATGAAACACCTTGAATCATCCATGAAATAGTTAGTAAGACCCCAAATAGCAGTTTACTTACGATGTGATACCTCTGTACTCATATTTCTTGATCTCTTTGTCAATCTGAAGGGCCAGTTCTCTGGTAGGGGCCATGACTAGCACTGCAGGGCCCCCTCTATTCTCACGTTCACCATCTTGCCCATCAATATGGATGAGAGCAGGCAAAAGAAATGCAAGAGTTTTGCCTGAAAAAAAAAAGGAAAAAATAATTAAGAAAAAAATTCCTAAAATAAATAATGAAAATCAGTTTGGAACACCTACATTTAAGAAATTATGTTTTAAATTAAATTATAATATATTTAGATATTAGAAATACAAATTTCAATTCACCTGTTCCAGTTTGTGCTATTCCAATCAAATCTTCTCCACTTAAAAGTACAGGCCAAGCTTGTGCTTGTATAGGAGAAGGTGTCTCAAATCCAGCTTTCCTAATTTCCTCAAGAATTTCAGGAAATTGGTGAAAGGAGTGATAAAATTTAGGACATGGTTTAGGTATAGGAAGACTTCCATCCTTTTTGAAAGTCCTATCCACCACAATATTCATATTCTCTTCACGAAAGCTGTCTACTTCTGACTGTGACATTTTTGTGATTTCAGGGTGCTCTTTATAAAAATTCTTCCTGATTGCTGGATATTTTGCCCACTCTTCATCTTCAGCCTTATCACACTCTGCCAAGAAGGTTTGCCAATCAACAATAGCAGGTTTCTTTTCTTCTTGTTCTTGAGGTATATCTTTTGCCTGTACAAACCTGACAGTATCTGTAGTCAAATCATTGATCAAATCTTTGGCTTTTGCAATAGCACTTACTTCTCCAAATAGTTTAACTACTGTTTCATCACCATCAGTTTCTTTAGTTACCTGAATTCTAGCACCAGATTCTGTCTGAAGTTCACCAATTTTGGAACCTCCACGTCCAATAATTTTTCCAACAAACCTGTTGGGAACATTCATAACTTCACACTTTTCACTACTGTCCCTTTCCCTCCAGTTATTGCCACTGCCTCCAGGGGGGTCTCCTCTATCAGTTCTACTACCACGAGTACCTCCTCCTCCTCTAGTGAATTGTCTTGTCCGTTGATTATTGTAGGGTCTTTCATTACCAGATGATGTATTATTAGACCACACATCAGAATTTTCTTGATTTTTTGCCATCCATGGCTGATTGGAAGCGGGAGTAGTTATTACAGGAGCACTATCGTCCCAGTCGTCATACATTTTATATTACCGGTTATAGCAATTTTTTTCACTACAAACGGTATGGTGGATTTGTGGTGCAGAATATTTTGAAAACGATGGAGTTAACTAACCTGAAGAATAATATTCAATATTAAACAAACTGAAATTGGCTCTTTGAAGGATATACATATAATATATACTACAGAATCTTTAGAAAATACCTGTTAGTCCTTATAAAATCAAAAATCGAAAAATTCTCTTCACAAATGACCACAAAACTCCACCACTGACGGCAGGACGGCACTGACCTAACTCACTCAACTCTCAACCACGATCTCAACTCAACTGACTGAACTGACTCAAACTAACTCAAACCAGTGTTGCTCGTTGTTCCTGGGCAATGACGGCTGTCTAGACATCTAGCCGTCATTGTCCTGGGTCTAATAAATCATTCCAGAATTACGTCATTTGACAGGTTGCTGAGGGGCAAACATTGTATTTTGTCAAGATATGTCATATAAAACCAGAATAAGTGGGATCGTTTTCCTTGGAATCCGAGTTGGAACTAGAAAGAATTCCATAATTGTGTTTGGTGAAACTGTTATTATATTGTAGATGTGGCAGGGATGGCCAGGGCTATGCTCATCAAAGGTAACCTCTAACAGATAGTTTGTGTGCCCCTCAAGAAACCATGTCAAAATCACGTGTTCTAGAATGATCAATAAATTTTTCGTACAAGATTTCGTTTGCAAAAGATAACAGATCAGAATCAGAAGGTACTAGACTAGAAAAGCCTGACATAAATATATCTAAAATCTATGGTCTGTTTCATATTTGAAAGAATTCAAAACTCAAATTATGGAATCACTTGCGTTTTTTTACTCTCAATGTGGAATTTTACTGGCAATTCCTACATTGGCGGAGAAGATGATCTAAGAATAACATATCGTAGGAAGAGACAATGATGAAGAGGCCAAATGACAGGAAAGCAATTCTACTAACTTTGACTCCACGTAGACCTCATTGTAGACCAAATTGTAGACCTCACTACAGTAAATGGAGTCACTGACCACCGTAGACCTCACTAGATTCTTTCATTTAACATTTTTGAAATACCGATATTTTCACATCGAATAGTCGATGTTTGAGAAACATCGATACATTTTGCCCATCTCTGGCAAGGAGCGTCGAGAATGTAGTCGACTAGTCGAGAAGTCGAGTAGTCGAGTGCGAGAGTGCAACGACCACTGACAGCAGTGACAGCGACAACCGACGAAAGTCGAGATTTAGTTCGTTGCATGTTGCATTTTGCTACTTTGCTAGTTATTAGTGATTCTGGTTAGTGAGTCCACCGTATCCAAATATAGATGTTTTGTATGTAATTTATGGTTTATCGGTATTTGTTTTCATAGGCATAGTAATACAGTTTGAAGTAATTGTTTAAGATATTACAAGGTAAGAAAGATATCTTGGGCATCTAGCTTGTGTCTATTTTTACTTCTAATAGCCCTATTGATAGTCCCGGTGCACCTCTTTTGCTTCCCCGTTTCCCCGTCTACGTGGCTGAAGAAATGATAATTTGTTCATCTCTGCCCATCCCATTTGATGATTTGTTTTAAAATGATAATGAAGTTGAGTGTCTTTTTTCTGAAGTGGAATTGATTGCTCCAGTAGTTATGGTAGAATCCCATGGGTACTATTATCCACTTTAATTTCTCCGCTGTTGCACTACCAAAATTTGGCTGTTTCTCTGGCCTGAATAAATGTAACTACAAATGATAGCTTTTTTTTTCAGATAATGGATTTGTCCACCCCATTGTTGTTCATAGTTTTATTCCTCATTGCTTGCTTTTCATTGTTTTTGGTTTACAAGTATGGGGTCAAACAAAAAAGCTTTGAGGAGGCTCTTGCTGAACAACGCCAGCAAACCAATGCCCTGCTGGGGTTGAAACCAAAACCAAAAGAGAAAAAGAATAAAAAGGCTTCCAAAAAGGTTGGTTTTCATGGAAATCATAGAAACCTTAATTCAATAAGTACTGATAAGAAAATATGGAATCTTGAAATACCTATTCAGCCAAAATTATGCTATTCTGCAACAAATTTGCATTTTTTTCATTATGTAGATTACTATAGCCAACATAGTATACATTTGCATTACAATGCAAAATTATCATTGATAAGTTTCTCCTCTCTTTCTGTAAATACCATGAACAAATATTATAATGGCATCATTCTTATGATAACGCATTTGATAAGAACAATCCTCAAATAGTAATAATCAGATTAGATATTTGTCTACTCAATAAATAAATTAATTTTTGATAAATTTTTGTTTTATAGTTTATTTTCAAACTAATTAGGTATATTTTGTAGTCAAAAGAGAAACTGTCTCAAGAAAATGAGACTGATGGGTTGGAAAATAGTGAAAACAACAAAGAGAATTCTCAACCAAATAAACTCCATGTTGAGTTCAAGGAAATTCTTGAAGAGGTACCAACCAAAGATGAATTGAAAGCACCAACTATAAAAGAGGTTTCAAAGGTAAATTCAAGTTTTATTTGTTTTGTATTGTTCATTTTGTAAAATTGTTGATGAATTAATTTTCAAACAATATGGTACATTAGAATATATTTTAATTCATATAGAAATGTTCAGGAATTTTTATGTGGATTATTTCAATCAGAATGGGACTTATGAATTCATGTATTCAAAGTTGATATTCTAGGTAAAAAAGATGAAAAAAGTGCGTCCTATTCTTGTGAGAAAGGACAAATCACCTGAAAAAGTGATAGTTGGCATGGTCAATACTCCAACAGTGAATCACTTTGAGGAGAATCATCCCAAAGATGATTTGGAATTGATGAGGTCCAGTAGTGTAAGTTTTTAAGAAAATGAGTTTGAGTTCTGATAGCAGCTGTTTCTTAATAAACTATTGGGATTTGTGATTCATGTTCTCCTTTTGTTGTCTTTTGAAGCTTAGTTCTTCTTGAGCAATTTCTATTGACGATTTTGACAGAGCTATTATGACTATAATGAGACAAGACAAAAACTTACTATAGTTGCAATATTTTTATATCTTTTTTACTAGGTGACACAGATTTCTTTTGTTTTCTAGCTATATTTCTGAAATTTGTAACATAAATTTAATATGCCTATTAGAGGGCACTTTCTCACTATTTAGTTTTTAGATAATTATCTTCCAGTTTTCCTGGAAATAACATCCAACTTTCGATTTTCAAATAGAACACCCTGTATTTTATTCCATAATGTTAACAACCCAATCAAACCCAGTATTGTGAACTCCATGCCATTACACCCATTGAGCATATGATAATTTAAATGCTAGTTCCTCAATAATAATCCCTAAAACATTATGGAATAAAATACAGCTTATGGAAACTTGAATGTGAATATCTTCATGATCCTTTGAAACAACCTAATCAAACCCGTTATTGTTGAATTCCATATAATTAACATTGTGAAATGAAATACAGGGTGTTCCATTAGAAAATTGAAAGTTGATGTAGTTTCCAGGAAAACCAGAATATGAAAAAAATCATACAATGTGAGAAACTGCCTTCTAGTGAGCACATTCAATGTTTCAAATTTCATATATACAGCTAGAAAAACAAATGAGTTGGATTAAGTACAAAATTCGGAAAAATAATATTTCCTTTTTCTCTTTAAGATTCTAATGTTTTGTAATCACTTGTTTTTTTTGTTGTTTATGTTATGGTTGAAATATCAGAATTGAAATTATTATGATTGAGACATTTAAAATATTTGATGATGCTCAATAATTGTACAATAATTGTAAATCTGTGGCTGTACCTCTCTGCTTGTTATAAAAAACAGTGAAAACAACTCTTCACTTGGTTCTCTTTTTCAAATGAATTTATTCATATTTTGTAGAAAGATGACATTCTCAAAACTGACCCAATAAAAGAACTAAAAGAAAAGAAACCTGCCACAGAAACTAATATTTCTGTGAAAAATAAAAAAAACAATAAGCAGATTGCTGACAGCATTAAAATTGAGCCTAGCCCCATCATTGAAAAGGTCATTGAGGAGAAAGTTGAGAAAGCCTTGGAAATTATGCCTTTAGTGAATCAAACTAATGGAGCATTGGTTGGTAACCCTGGAAAAGAAAAGAAGAAAAAGAAAAGTGAATTCAACACAAGACAACAACTGAGTAAGTACATGAGATTAAATTTGGTTTTATCTTATTTTTGACTGGTTTTAAGTCAGCTGAATTATATTGATATTTTATTACTATTACTAGCTTCATTATTGGTTCATTTTGATTTTGAGCAAATTTGAAATTTTATATATTTCAAATGTAGTATGGGAGCTACCCATTGACCCAATACTTCATGTTATACTGAGGTGTCACGTAAAATATAATGAAACTGATGAACATAAAACAGCAAAATAATCACCTGTCAGGAATAAATTAGAAACATATCACCATTTCACCTAGACATTTTATTTTCTCAGCTATAATTTCTCACCACCATATTCTCCATGGTGATTTGTAACTTATACAGAGTATCTCGGATCCTTTAGGCTAGCAAATATCTTAGTTATTGTGCACAAAAACACTGAAAACATGTCAAAAATATGGGGTGAAGAGCTCTTCAATATAGTGATTATAATCATTCTGTACATGTGGGTACATCTGTCCATGATTGTGGGTACTGAAGCTTTGTAGATCCTCCTCAGGAAATTATGCTTTATCTAATGTGGTTCTGTCCAATTCAGATATCTGCTCACCTTAAATCTCTAGGTCATCCTACATTATATTTGTGTGGAAGAGACATCTCCATTGTGATTATCCCACAATAAACAGTAGGTTGAAAATTATGTTTTCATTGCAGCCGCCGAAAAGGATGAACTCATCAATTCCGTGCGTAAAGCTGAGCTGTCTAAGACTGAGGTGCAGCTGCTCATCGATCTATTACTCAACAAGCAGCTAGAGGCTCCGACTGTCATCAGTGATTGGAGTGAGGTAATCTTACACTCAACTCTTTCCAATGCTTTTCTAAATCATTTTTCTCAATGTGCAAAAATGGTTAATACTCTTCTGCAGAAATTTCAATTGTAGGAAGGGTATACACAATCTGGGATACTGCAGCAAAATCTGTTTTGAAACGTCTGAAATCTTCAAAATAAAGCTTTAAAATGTATATATGTACTACCATTTCTGGAATCAACATCTGAAATAGACAAACCAGGGGATCTGCTAGATATTGACTCTCTCTTTGAATGAAAGTATACATTTTCAGTCATTTCACTAAAAATAAGAAAACGCACTTGAATCTTACTTTCAATATCAATGCCTGAGACCATATTCTGATACCTGTGGTCATTACACCAGACAAAGTGAACATTTGAAAACGTTCACTTATAATCCCCCTAGGGAATGAATTATTGCCGGAAATTTTTGAGTACATGAATTTTCTTTGAAAATTCATGTAGGTGACAAATTTCCCGCACTTAATTCATGCCCGTGGGAGATTCGGCAAGAAAATTTAATACTGGAATTATATTCAAAAAGAAAACATTAAGTGAATATTTACCATCCCTGTACTCTAGTAAAATCAAATTTATAGTATCAGATACATTATTATATAAAAATGATTGATTTCATATGATTTTCTTATTAATTTTACAGCTACATGCTCATGTGGAAGAAAAAATTCCAAAAAACTTGCTGGTAGCCATAGTAACAAATGTTTATATAAAGCATCTGATTGGTTGAAACTGACTGGTATGACATTGTCAAAATAAAAACCCAATTTGGGGAAAAATCATTATATTCTTGTGGAATGAATATTTATGATAGTCTACCCAACAGAATATAATCTATTGAGTTCCTCATGAAATTCAAGAGTGAACTGAAGAAATAAATTTGATCAATTTAACTCTCCTTGTATCAATTAAATCCGATTGAACTGTTCATCTTTCATTTTATTGCATATTTGATTTATTTATGTATTTTTTTGTATCCCTCTATAAACATGTATACATTTATAACAACAAAAACAAGTTACTACAATTATTTCCCTACAAAACTCTATAGTGGTGCCATGTTCATCTTGAATTGATGTACAACTAATAAGTTTAAAATTAATTATTTAATTTCTGATGCTTATTTTGTATTGGTAAATTATCATATTATGAAACTCATTTAATTTTTTTGCCATAAGCTATTTCTGTCAGAATGAATAAGATGTTTTACCTGAAAGTGTGAACATAGGAAACTCAAATTGGAGAAGAAAATATCAGATATTGTTAATTATTGTTCCTTCGCCGATGCCCCACAAATACAATATTTTTGTACTATGCAGCAGGTGCTACCACTGTAAAACAATTTTTAAAAGTTGTAATATGCCTCTTCCATTATTATACTATTGGAAATTGATAAAAATAGAAGTAACCTCATGAGATATGAATTTATTCAATAGACCAATTTACGCTGAGCGCTGCTTTTTGCTAGGGTCCCTTGATGTAAATTGACGTATTTATCATCTTAACAGGGTATGGACAGATCCTCGTCTCCTCTCACTCTAAAGTGTTTGTGAAACAGTTATATAGTTCTCTATCTTTATTCATTTCTGGGGATAAACACTGGATTTCTGACATTTGTTGTTTTTTAAGTTATATTTAGGGCATTGGCGTATCATACGTAATTTCTCATTCAACTCTACATATTATATCCAAATGATGATGATAATGTTCGAGTTTTTGACTTTTCAACTCTAGCATAATCTTTGTGAGGCAGTGAGCAAATTTTTCTGGAAGTTTAATAGGTCGCGTGCACGAAGACCGACCCTGGAGGCGAAATATTGAAACACAACCTCATTCTTCTGTGAATTATTGAAACACAACCTCACTTTTTTATTTGGTTACAGAGGAATCAAAAGGTTGAAATAGATTCTCACAATATTTTGGCATACGAATCGTGTTTCTTGCGTTATTCATTAATTCAAGCATGCCTTCGCATTGTGCTGTTGTACAATGCACAAAAAATGCAGCAAGAGACTAGGAAATATAATTTTTCAGATAAATAGTAATCTCACATTTAGCATTATGAAATGTTGTCACTCCTTATTAAAATTCCTTCTGCCTTCTGCCACTTCTGCAATACAAGCTAATGCTGCTAATAGATTGAAAATGTCTACAACACACACGATCGTCAGCATGTCAGACCAGTCCTACCGATTGATTGCATGAATCCAATCTTCTTGCATTATTCTAGAAATTTCAGGTATATTTCTATTAGCTGATCCTATTGCAGAAGGAATTCCGATGAGAAATCAGAGAAATAACCAAATTTCAAAAATGAAAACTATGTGAGTGACTATAGTAGGTACTTACTTTTGAATCATGTGATCATAATGTACCATCCGGATTTCTTCATCTTCCGCTGCAGTTTTTGTGCATTTTACAACAGCAGAATGTGATGGCATTAGCGAATTGATGAATAGCGGAAAAATACGATTCATATGCCAAAATAATTGTGGAAAACTATTTCGATCACTTGTAAACAAATATGTTTTGCCTAGGGTCGGTCATCTGACAGTTCTTGCACGCGACCTATACGCAGAAATAAACACTAGATTTCTGACATTGGTTGTTTTTTAGGTTATATTTAGGGCATTGGCGTATCATACGTGATTTCCACATGTAATTTCTCATTCCACTCTACAATCATATTATATCCAAATGATGATGATAATGTTTGAGTTTTTGACTTTTCAACTCTTATCTTTGTGAGGCAGTGAGCAAATTTTTCTGAAAGTTTAATATGTTTTTCCAAATGGAACTGTTCTTAGGCAGTACCTATCAATAAATTAATTTTGATTTCAGACTAAGCCTTATGGTTGAGAAATGGTTCAAACTAATGTGCTCATATGTCATGTGTGCTGTATATATTCATGTTGGGAATCATTTTTGCAGTTTTTCACGAACACTTAATATTTCCTGAATGAAGATTCCATTTTTTAAACGGTAGGGCATATGCCGTTTCTTTTAATCCTCCGTTTTAATAAAAACTGTTTCTACTAAAATGCATTCAAAACTTTTGGAGTGGATAATTATAGGCACAATGAGAAAGTATAATATGTGAATTCGTATTAGTTTTACCTCGAATATTTTACTGATGTATTTACCCATTTTCCCCATTCGGTCACTTCAATTTCCATGTTCTAAGTTCATATGATGGAAAGCTAACAAATTCAAATTTGCCATCCAACTGATTGATACAGCCTAACGCAACACATTTTACCATCCTTCCAAAACAGAATTGAATAATGTCGTATCAAGTTCAAGTATGAAATTGGAATTTTGTAAGATCTCTTTTAACGCCTATGAATGTGACGTGACAGCAATGTCATGTCAGGGACGCCAATACACGAAACCAGTCACTAGGTGATTGAAAGAGAAAGGAGCTATGATCTGTCCGTACTGAAATCTCCAAATTCTCATCAGCTCATCCTATATCTTTCCCTCATCTGGTTCATCATTGAAACTATCGACACCATTCTTTGAATTTTTTGTCCAGCTCGGATTTATCTTATACAGAGTGGCATTGAAATAAGTGCAAATATTTCAAACCTTGTGCAAGCTCGAATGGCACCAATAATAATAAAATTAATATAGGGATCAAAATAAAATTTGGAGAAAGACACCTTTTTCCACCCAAAGTTCTACACTGTAGCAATTCTGACGTCACCTCTGTTCAAATTTCCGTGTGGAATGCACAATCACGTGGAGTTCAATCATTTAAATTGTTTTAAAGTGGCGTACTTGATTTTCTTCCCGTTTCTTGTTCAATTTTTGGGTTGAGATTTGTCGTTAATTGAAAGAATTAGAAAAAAATCTGATATCATGGGAATATTCGTTGGACTGTATCATATTGACGCTGTATATGTGCACTTATTTCAAAAACACCTCGTATATCTCTAAATTTTCTTAAGGGTAAGTACGATCCGATCCAAAAGATGAAAAAGCAGCTGGCGGAAAAAGAAAAAGCGTTGATTGAGGAGCAAGAGGCCCTCTTGGGGGCACAGGCGAAACTCAAGGAGATCCGTGCTGAACAGCAAGCCGAAAAAGCGCAGCTCCAGCAGAAGATACGAGGGCTGGAAGAGTTGGCTCAGACCAGGCATATAGAGATACAGGCTGGGAATAACCGGTTCCAAGTTAATGCTCAGAAAATTCAGCAGCTGCAGGCGGAGCTCAATTCTGAGATGATCAAAACACACAAGCTGATGGAGGACAATGCTGCTCTGCAGATGCAGGCACAGCAGTATGAAGTCAGCCTGTCTCAGATGCAAGATGTAAGTTGATTAGTGATGTGATATATCCGGAAAAATGAAATCGTGGAATGAATTTGAACGATTAGATTTAGAGTGGGGCCTTCGGGCTATTTGCCTCCACACGGCGACCTTTTCAGATCTATTGTGTCTGCCCTCAAAATCGTTTAGTGTTCTTTGGCTAGGCCCGCCTTCTCTATGAGACTCCATAGGCTAGCTTTCAGATCCCCTGTGTAACTTTAGGCTCTTGGTTTTTCCTCACCCAGCGTGGGGAACCTTAGTCTTGACAAGCCCTCACAGTGGCAAAGTATGTGTACTGCTTTTTCCTCCTCTTCCTGACAGAACAGTTCTTCAGTCAAACCTATCGTGTTTGTTGAGCCTACTGTGCCCTGTGAGAAGTCCCACTAGTATTCTAGTTGTACTTCGTTTCTGGCTTAGTAGATATTCTGTGAATGTTGGCGATGGTTTTTTAATAAACTCTTTTGACTGTCTAATTCCTGGCGAGTTGTTCCACCATTCTCGAGATTTGGTTTGCATCCATGAATTGATACTTGTTTTTTGTATAGCTTTCACAATACCACAAAATGGTTCTGGACCATTCAGAGCTTTGTTTGCTCCTGCTCGGGAAAGTGAGTCTGCCTCTTCATTGCACTTGTACCCTGTATGTGCTGGTACCCATGCTAGAGGCATTTTGTTTCAACTGCCCAGTTCATTTAGGGTCTCTGAGCGGTCCCATACTAGCTTTGAGTTTGTTAACTTGCATTGAGTTAACTGCTTTGATTGCCGCCTGGCTAATCCGAATATATTGCAATGGTTTTCCCTTTGAACTCTTGCCTTATCAATTCTTTTACGCAATGATGTATTGCAATAATCTCTGCCTGAAACACCGTCGCGTAATTGCCTAAGCTCAGTGAGATTCTTGTCTTTGGCTTGGCCCAATTTGAATGATAGTTTGTTCTATTTTCATTTGAAAAAAATCAACTATTAACATACTGTGTTATAGTTTTAATGCTTGGTCTGGAGATATATCTAGTTATGGAGTTCTTGATAGAAGTCAGATGTTCAGGATGAGAAATGAGAATTCAAATATATCAAAGATTGATTGTGGTGTTCCACAGGGATCAGTACTTGGCCTAATTCTGTTTCTTCTATATCTAAATGACTTAGCAAATATTGATATTCTAGGAAAGTTCACAATATTTACAGATGACACAACGCTCATGTGGCATGGAAGTGATATAGATAATTTGTTCTTTTCTTCAATGCTCCTAAAACTAATATTCTGAGATTCAGATTCAGCAACAATAGTTTGTCATTAGAAAACCAAACTAGAGAAAATATGGATAATGTTAAATTTTTGGGTATAATCTTGATGATTAATTGAAATTTGAGGAACATATAAGATCGTTGAACAAAAAACTGGCTAATGGATGCTTTGCTATCAGGGTAATTGCCAAAAAACTTGAGTTTTCTATCAGTAGGGCATCATATTTTTCATTAATTATTGCGGCTCATTTGAAATATGGCAATCCTTTTTGGGGTTTCTGCAGTAGGCAGTTATTCAATTCTATTTTTGTACTTCAGAAAGGACCCATTCGCTATTTATGTGGGGTTAAACCTTGACAAGACAGTTGTAAGCAAACAGAATTCTTTGAATTTCATCTCATCCAATGTTCTCCGTAAATCAGAACTATTAGAACCAAAAAAAAAATCAAAATGACAATCAAAAGATTTCTTCTTGATAATTGTTTCTACAGTATATTAGAATGCCTCCGAAAATCCAACTCTCTTAAGAGCTTAGACTTACATAGGGCAGCATAGTTTTTTTCGTTTGCCATTGTCTTGCACTTCAACTCTTTTTTTATAACTTCATTATTGATTTCATTATTTATGCAATTTTTATTATTTTATAGATACTTGTCTATCTATATATTTGTCATGTATCTATCTATCTGTTGATATCCCAAAACAAGTATTACAAGCGCCATATGGCAACAGCAGTTTTTTTGTAGAACCTGAAGTCCATTTATGATTCTTCATACCCTTTTTCTCTTTCTAAAGCATTTCACACTAGTTAAAGTCCATAAAATAGGATAGTGAAAGAATAAAACAATTTCGGCGCTAATGGGTTAAGATACTTCAACATTATATTTGTCCTTCATTTTCCTCGAGAACGTTCAGAAATGTCCAGAATAAGCAAAGAATACAGATACATCGTAACCTCACTGATTTATATAATTTTAATGCACTCCATGTTTCATGTCATGAAGTTGACAGATGATAGATGACCCCCCAACGCGAAAGCAACATCGGACACCCCTGCCATTCGAAAAGTCTTATTTTTCAGACTGAAAATATCATCGGTAAACTCAGAAGTGACATCGACGAACTGTCCGCCCAAAATCAACAGCTTCGCATGGACCTACAGCAAATCGCCGCCGAAAAAGAGCACCAGCAACAACATTTCATGATGCAAATGGCCACCATGGACAAGGGCTTCAAGGAATCGCGCATGGAAATGGAGAAGAACCTCGAAATGGCCCTCAGACAAGAAAATGACTGGAAAAACGAAATCGCCCACCTTGATTCTACGTTGCAGCAGCGTTTCGAGGAAGAACGTAAAATGGAACTGACGTTGGGACAACTAAATGAGAAATTGCGATTGATGAATAATGAGAAAGCTGAATCTGTGAAAAAAATTGCTCAGGTAGGATAAGTAGGAGAACCGGCAGCAAATCATCTAAAAACATCGTATTTTATCGAACGGCATCTGTGTCAATCACTATCCTGAGCAAAATGATTGGAAAATTGCACTTTCCTGTGCGGTAATTTGCACTCAATTTCGTAATTTTTTGTCAACGAGATGAGAATTATGCCATCCGACACCAATTGAAAATTGATTCATGATCATATAAATTATGTATAATGAGGTTATAAGTTGATAGTTAAAAATATAAAGGAACATTTCATTTTATTATTTTTAGAGCGTTTAAATAAAAGCTTTCTATTTTTTTTTACTTTCAATTTATTTATTAATTTTTAGTTATCGCTAGGTAGGTTTCTCTGTCTGTTCATGTCATCCAACGCATCATTGTTGCAAGGTTGTTTGCCGGTTAATTTGGAACAGTCCAGCTCTTCAATTGTGCCGCGTATGCTTGACCAGCAGCGAAGAGCTTCGAGTAAATAACGGCGTAGTCGACATTACTATCTTGCATTTTGTGTACTGTAAAAGCCCAACATAAAACAATTGGCAGCATTCTTCGTTCCTTGGTGACTATATTTTGCTGGAAATTGCACAAACTTAGTGTGCCATATTGGATTTTGAGTGATGTTACATTATTTCTAATTATTCTCGGCAAGCCCTTTCATTTGATACCCATATTGCAGAAGTGCATGAATAACAACTATTCCGCCATCTTGGAAGTTCCGCCATATTGGATTTAGAATAACGTTACATTATTTTCCGAGTTACTCTCAACGAGCCGTTTCATTAGATACCCATATTGTAGATGTAGATTTAAAATAACTATTCCGCCATCTTGGATGGTACGCCATTGTGGATTTAGAATGACGTCACATTATTTTTCGAGTTACTCTCAACAAGCTCTTTCATTTGATACCCATATTGTAGAAGTGCATTAAAAATAACTATTACGCTGTCCTGGATGGTCCGCCATATTGGATTTAAAATTACGTCACATTATTGTTCGAGTCACTCTCAATAAGTCCTTTCATTTGATACCGATATTGTGGAAGTGCATTAAAAATAACTACTTCGCCATCTTGAATGGTACGCCAAGTATTCAATCAAATCCATATGTTGAGTTTTACACTGGTCCATCGGATATTATCTTTCGAGAGGGGCACAATATTCTCGGAAATATTGATGCTCTGCTACTAGATCAGTGAATCGCGGCACGTTTGGATATTCGCAAAGGGGGCATTATCCCCTTTTATTTGCTTTTTGTTTCAACCCGTTATCACATAATGGAAGTTTGTCCGGAATAATGGCAGCAAATTAATCTCTGTGCCGTGGATTTGACTTGGATTAAAAGGTGGCATAAGTAGGTTTTTGAGATCTACCATTCAATTGGTATTGGATGGCATAATTCTTATCTCGTTATCAAATCAAGAAATAAGTGCAATTTACCGCACAGGAAAGTACCAGTTTTCAATCACATGTGCCGTCCGTTGCCTTTGGGACATATATATTTTGTTATCAGATTACTGTCGACTCTTGGACTAGATGATCAGTGAATTATTTACTTACAGTCGTGTGTCAATATCAAAATTCTCTACGTCATTTTACTGACTTCACTTTCTATTTCAGCTGACTTCGGAGCTGCAGTTATCAAAGGAAGAAATCAAGCACCTCAATCATTCTGCAGAAGGCAAACAAGTTCATGAAGTGGAAGTTTTGAATTTGACCAATGAACTCGCCTCCAAGAAAAGCGAATTGTCTACCAAGATATCGGAATGGCAACAGACTGAGAGAAAATACAAGGCTGATTTGGAGACTACCAGAAGTAATTATCAGAAAATCCAACAAGATTTGGAGGAGCAAAAAGCCAAGAATAATGTGAGTACTAGATTTTGCTAAATCGGCGTATATTATATTCATTTATTTATTTATTTTTTCATTTTTTTATTTATTCATTTATTTATTTATTTATTTATTTATTTATTTATTTATTTATTCATTTATTATTATTATTTTCATATCAACTCTAATCATGAATTGTCAATCCCATTATATATTTTGGTTGTGAATCATCATAACAGGAAAAAGTCATTAATTTTGTTGTATTCAAAATAAGAGTTAACAAGTCAAAATCAAGATTATTTTTTACTATTTCTATAACTTTTTCTGCATTAGATACAACTTGTGACCAAGAATTTCCATTAACAATAAATTATCAATGTATCATCAAAATATGAGAAAATATGTCCATCAATATCTGTTTTAAATATGTCATTAATATAAACCAGGAAAAGAATTGGACCTAGAACAGTTCCTTGAGGAACACCACAAATAAGATGTGTTTTCTGGCTGAAATTATCTCGTAAATTTGAAAATTGTTCTCTTTCTGATAAGTAACTTTAATAAGTTGAAACTCTTAACCAATATGCCACAATTTTGTTATCTAGAAAGAATGCCATGAGAAACTGTATCAAAAGCCTATTTTAAACCTAGAAATATTCCTATAGCTTCTTTGTTGTCATCAAGCTAATTAATTATTGTATTTGTTACATGAAATATGGAGGTTTCTCTTCCTATTCCAGGTCTGAAGCAAAATTGATTGAGATATATAATGTTTTTGCTTTGTTAGAAATCATAATCTCATTTTTAAACATTTTTCAAGAAGATATGGGATGATCACAATTATGTTCCTTGGATTGTTTGTGCACTAAAAACTAACCTTCTTTTATGCCCTTGCTATATGTAGGAGTTGCGTGCTAAGAACTGGAAAGTGATGGAAGCACTCAATGCTGCCGAAAGCAAGGCCAAAAATGTTGTCACCAACAAGCAATCGGAAATTGATGCTAAAGTAAGTAAATTCAAATGAATTTGAGGTCATCACTTTCCATTTCCAAGACTTGTCTAATTTCTTTCTCTAATTTTTGCTTGATTTTTCATACCATTGGTCAGTTGATTCAATTACTTTTTTATGAATACTGAATATCTTCAGATCAAACGGGTGAGTAGGGCGATGTCCAATTCCCACGACGCCTAATTCCCACGGTGCCCACCCTCATGTCGACGATTTAGAAGATTGCCGGTGCAACGTAGCCAGGTTATGAGAAAATGTCAGAAAACCATATTCCACCATGCCCTTTTTCCATGGTTTCCCACGATGCTTAATTCCTACGATACTCAATTCACACCATGCCCACCTTCCATGGATTCCCACCATGCCCACTTTTCATAGATTTCCACGATGCCGAATTCTTACGATACCCAATTCCCACCATGCCCACCTTCCTTTTATTCCTACTATATCCACTTTTCATAGATTTCCACGATGCCCAATTCCTAGAATACCCAATTCCCACCATGCCTAATTCCTATCATACCCAATTCCCACCATGCCTTAGATTCACACCATGCCCACTATTCATAGATTCCCACCATGCCCAATTCCTACGATACCTTATTCCCACCATGCTCACCTTCCTTGGATTCCCACCATGCCCACAACTACCCAGAAATCTTGATGGAACTTAATCCTCTAACTTAAGAAAATCGTAGATTAGTGTTGGATATGGGTTTCCTATATAAAATTGATCAATGGTTTTATTAATCCTCCAGCTAGAACAAGAAATCCTGCATTTTCCTCGACCTTCCACTCAACGAATTCTGGTAACAATAGCAAGGCTTCAAAGGAATGAAAAAGTTTCCTTCAGATTAATTTTCACAGAATAAGTTCGGAACTCTCCAGTGAAGAATATAGCTAGCGAATAGCTAACAAATAGCTAACGAATTTAAAACGAATGAAAAAAATAGAAGAAGTAAAACTGGTAAACAAAAACATACATAACCACAAATGCACACGGAGCAGGAAGTAGTTGGCTTCATTCTGAAAGGTTATGGTTTTGTTATTTATGTATTTGAATATCTCAAATAGAGCTCGATCCTAAACTAAAATATCATTGAATCAATGAATCACTATCGGCTACATTCAATGATACCAACTATCCTTCCTAATTTACTGCCATCGGTCAGAACAGAATGAAGCCGACACCCATGGCAGCTTCCACTTGTTGTTCCTGTCAGTATTTTGAGTGGTGTAGACGGACTCGAAGTATTAGGTGCTGTTGCAAGATATAATCTGCAACTTTCCTAGAAAATAGATCCGTTTTGTTAAGAAACGAATATGAATAACATATTGTAATATAATGATAGTGAAAAGTTATAGATACTATCGCAAAATATCATAATTAATCTTTATTAGTAATCAACTTCATTCAGCCAATGAGAGATTTATGGGAATTATTCATAAAACTTGACAAACTAAAATTGAAGAACCTATTATATCCCATTGCTGTTATGATATAGTTATTATGCATTCAAAGAACAATTTCCGGAAATTTAGACATATTGATGATGTCGGGAACGTCGTACTGGCACAGGGAATCGTATTTTAACTCTGTGTGAATGAAGATTTCTTGTGAAGTCAAATTTGATCTTACGAAAAAAAGAATAAATACGTATATATTCATTTTTTATAAACTTCACAGTGAGATAAAAACCTCATTATAGGAAACATCCAAATTCCTACAATACCTAATTCCCACCATGCTCACCTTCCTTGGATTCCCACCATACCCACCTTCCTTGGATTCCCACCATGCCCACTTTTCATAGATTCCAAGAACATTAGAAATATATCACGTTGCTTATATAAACTACCTAGAAATCTTAATGGAACTTGATCTCCTAACTTTATAAAATCATAGATTACTGTTGGATATGAGTTTCCTTCCTATATAAAATTGATCAATGGTCGTATTAATTTTCCAGCTCTACTTTGTTTGATTAGATTCAATATGTCGGCTTGACCAAGAAATCCTTTATTTTCCTCGACCTTCCACACAACGAATTCTGGCAACAATAACCCTATTTCAAGGCTTCAAAGGAATTATGTTGTTCTTCAAAATCATTGTGACCTATTTTGTGGCAGTCTGAGTTAATTCAAAACTAATGTTGTGAAAATAATTATGAACACCTAGTTTGTGTAATAAGTATAACTTGAGTGCTACATTTCTATGAGTGTAATTTCCATTGCTCCTATTTATTTATTAATTTCAACGGTTACACCATTTTTATGAAATGAATAATAACAAAACATGAATAATTATAGGAGCAATGAAAATTACACTCATAGAAAAAAGCACTTAAGTTATACATTGTTGTTATTCAAATCAGATTGCAGCAGATCAATATCCATATGATGCTGAATTTCTTTAAATATTTTGAATTCATCTGCATATAACGTAAAAACTTGCTAATATCGTTGACAAACAAATTGGAAAGTAACGGTCCACAATGAGAGCCTTGAGGAACTCCTGACAATACTAGAATCACGTTAGATAACAAACTTTTGATTCTCACGCATTGTTGGCGACCAACTAAGGAACTCAATCCATGCTACCAAACCCAGATTTATACCCATATCCCTGAGTTTTGTAATAATAAATTATGACTTACCCTGTCAAACGCTTTTGAAAATCGGTATAAATACTATCAACTTGGGTATTATTCTCAAAGGCGTTCAACAAGAAGTTCTGATATGTTGAGAGGTTACTAATGGTAAATTTACCATTGCAGAAACCATGTTGTTCAGTAATGATTATATTCGAGATTTGTGCTGACAGATAGGCTGTTACCATTTTATCAAACATTTTGGGAATTGTTGATTGAAAACATATGCCTCTATAATTGGTAATATCCTCCCGGTTCCCAGATTTGAAAATAGGAGTAATATAACTGCTCTTCCAGTAAGCGGGAAAGCAGTCTGTCTGTATTCATCGTTTGTTATTTTTTAATAAAAATGGTGTAACCGTTGATAAATTAATAAATATACCATATTTCTATTCTATTGAAGAAACTCTCCGAGGACGCGATCGCCGGAGAGCGCGCCGCGCAGAAAGCTTTCCTGCGGCGGTTGTTCCCCGAGATCGAGGGCCTCGAGGCGGTGGCGGCAGCCGAGGACTGGCAGGCCGAATGCGGCAAATTGATCGGCGAGCATTTGAAAAGCCTGCGCGTCGAACAAGTCGCTGCGCCTGCCTCGACTCCGCCCGCGTCGCCCGGCAAGGCGCAGGAGGTCGGCAAGCTGCAGGCGCAGCTGCTGCATTACAAGGGGATCATAGACGACACGGTGAGTATGTGGAAGTGTTGCGACTTCAGACTAAATAACGAGGGATAGATGTGGGTATGTATTTCATTACATCCGAGAAAGACCAACCTTATTTCTTGTTTATGTCACCTCAATATCATGATTGGTTCAAAAATTATCTATCAAATAGAAAACAATATGTTGAAGTGAGTGGTACTTGTAGCTCCTTAATGAACATCTCATGCGGTGTACCGCAAGGGTCAGTCTTGGGACCAGTTTTATTTTTGATCTACATAAATTCAATATCAAACTTGAAATTGAGAGGAAAACTTAAATTATTTGCAGATGACACGACATTGATTTATTTCTCTAAAGATTCAAATAATATTATCATGGACATGAAAAGTGATTTAGAGAAAATATCCTCTTGGTTACAAGTTCATAAACTATCTCGCAATTATAACAAATCCTCATATATGTACATGTTACAAAATTTTTAGGTCTTTATATTGATGAACGACTATTGTGGAATAAACATATAGATCATTTGAGGAACTAACTCAATCCTATTACAGGCATTTTATTCAAAATACGAGATTTCATTTCTACCAGATACTTGAAGAGTATTTATTTCTCTCTTATTTACTCAAAATTTCAATACCTAATATCTATATGGGGAAGTACCAATATTTTACGTTTGAGTCCACTAATGAAATTACAAAATAAAACATCGAAGTGTATTTTCAATTTAAATTTTCTCGAACCAACCATGAATTTATACAAACCTAGAGATTTATTAGATCTGACATCACTATATAAACTTGAAATATGTTGTTTTATTCAATTTGTTCTATATAAATTGAAAATTTCGAATTTAAATTTCAATGAAATCAATTCATTACATAATCATGGAACAAGACAATCAAATTTACTAATAGCAAATACGTTCAAGTCAAATATCGGCAAACAATCAATTTTTCACACAGGAATCGTTCTATACAACTCATTACCAAGTCAATTGAGGAATATACAGGAAGCAACTAGATTCAAAATTAACTTAAAAAAAATATCTGCTTCAGAGACTTTGATAATTCCATTTCCCATTTGAATACCTACTCATAAAAGACTAGGTTGATATTGCATGATTATTTGCATTTTTTTTTTTTTACTTGTTATAGCTTATTATAATTTCATAATTGTATGTATAGCACTATGCATATTGTTTATGTATCCCTATTATAAACAACTATGTTTCTTGGGGTAATAAAACACTGAAACTAGGATCCCCTGATGCAAACTGACGTATTTGTCATCTAACAGGGTACAGACAGATCATAGCTCCTTTCTCTTTTAATCATCTAGTGACTTTGGTTTCGTGTATGGCGTCCCTGATATGACATTGCTGTAAATCTTACAAAATTTTAATTTCATACTTGATTAATACGACATTATTCAATTCTGTTTTGGAAGGATGGTAAAATGTGCTGCATTAGGCTGTATCAATCAGTTGGATGACAAAGTTGAATTTCTCAGCTTTCCATTAAATGCAAATGAACTTGGAACATGAAAAGTGAAGTGACCGAATGGGGAAAATTTGGTAAATACATCAGCAAAATGTTCCAGGTAAAACTATTACGAAATCACATTTTCTTTCTCATTGTGCCTATAATTATCCACTCCATAAGTTTTTGAATGCATTTTAGTAGAAACAGTTTTGATTGAAACGGAGGATTAAAAGAAGAAACTTTCAGAAAAATTTGCTTACTGCCTCATAAAGATTATGCTCGAGTTGAAAAATCAAGAACTCGAAAATTATCATCATCATTTGGATATAATATGTAGAGTTGAATGAGAAATTACATGTGGAAATAACGTATGATACGCCAATGTCCTCAATATAACCTAAAAAACAACAATTGTCAGAAATCTAGTGTTTATCCCCAGAAATGAATAAAGATGGAACTATATAACTGTTTCTCAAACACTTTAAAGTGAGAGGAGACGAGGATTTGTCGGTACCCTGTTAAGATGACAAATACGTCAATTTACATCAAGGGACTCTAACTGAAACAACCAAAAAGGGAGGAAGTGATCATATACAGGATAATTTTTTATATATTTTTGCATACACTATGGACATGTATCTCAAAAAAAAGGCTAGTACAACATTGGAGTTTGAAAAATAATAGAACTATTCGAAAATGTACATTAAAGAAGTAATAAATAACGGTTTATTTCATTAACCCCACATTGAACGTTCAAAATGTTCTCCGTTTTTCTCCAATCGTTTCATAACTCTTTGCCGCCATTTGTTCTCGAAAATGTTCCTCGGCATTTCCGGTCCAATATTGGCAGCAATCTGTTGTTGAGGTTTGCAGCTCTTCGAGGTGATCATTGTCTCTTGAATACTTCGTCTTTCAAATATACAAATAGGCAGAAATCCAAAGTCGCCAAGTCAAATCTGGAGAACGATTTGAGAAGGAAGGATTAACTCCTGGACTCTTCATGCGGTTGCCTTTTAAATATGCTAAATTTGCACGTGTGGTGTGTGCTCTGGCTGAAAATTGCCAACCGGAATTTCTTCATCATCAAGTTGATTAATGGTTCCAACATCACTCTGTACCTTTCACCATTGATAGTGCCATGGAAGAAGATCGGTCATATATGGACCGCCTACGAGAATCTCCTAACCACACCCCAATTTTTGAGAATGTAGTGGTCCCAATGATATTGTGAGTGGCAGACCTCCACGAGAGATGTGGTGATTTGCCGAGAGTGAATGAATACATTCTGAAAATAGCCAACAGATTCTACAAATACCACATCACTGGAAGTGACCTCACCCGGAATATTACAACACCATAACATACACAAAAAACACGGGCTGTTATATGCATCAACCAGTGTGTTTAGGCAGCCTGACAATCTATAGTCGGGAACCTCCCCGGGTGCTCGGACATGTCCACCGAGGAGACTCTAGACAGCACTATCTCCCAAGCATGAAAATAACAGAGTGTCAAAAAATGACACTGAACTCGGGCAGAAGTGCCCATGTGGAAACACATGCGCACAACTGCCCGAGACAAACAAGAAGGAGGTTTTTTATTTTTTTCAATTTTATTCTTCCTCCACCACTCAAGAAACCCTTTCCACTCTGATCGCGCACGAGCAGCTCCCTCACCCCTTTGGGTACCATCAGCGAGATTACCTATATAAAGGGCCTAGCCCTAGGAGATAGGTCACTGTGACGAACACCTCACATATCCTCTCATATTCCTTGGCTAACACCAGCCACCTCTGCGTCAGTGGAGGGACGTTCAGGCATACTATCAGCTATGCCGAATCTATTATATGCAAATATGATTGAAATATGTGTTGTATTGTTAATACTCTGATGACGAATAAATGGATTTAATACAATGATATTGTGGGGATTCTCAGATCTCTAAATCTACAATTTCGTGAGTTTTACGTATCCCGACAAATGAAATCAAGCCACAACACTAAAAAATGTTGGGTCCAACAATCAATGAGATTATTTTGGAACCATTGGCAGTACTCCAGACGACGTGGCATATCTACTGGCAGAAGTTGCTGTAGTACACTGGTCCTGTAAGGGTGCATATGCAATCTCTTCTTGAGCACTATGGCACGTACTTAGTGGTATACCGGATTGTAAAGATAATCTCTTCAAAGACGTTTGGGGAGTTTTCTCAACAGGCGTCCTTAGATTTTCGGCAACTTCTTCCAATACATAGGGAGCCTTTCTGTTGATCTCGTTTCATTGACGAAAATTATATATTTTTCAAATCAGAAAAAATCACTCATTCAAGATATGCAATGAAATTTTCATTTGAAAAAATGAAACACTCACAAACATCTGATTCAGAATTCATTTTTGAAGTTTTCAATATTATATAAGTTTTATATTTTTTCATTGGTCACAATGAGTGCGAGAGTTAATTTTGAATTTCGTTCTCTTCAGGAGGGTATGTTGAACAATCTTGAAGTTTTCAATATTATATAAGTTTTATATTTTTTCATTGGTCACAATGAGTGCGAGAGTTAATTTTGAATTTTGTTCTCTTTAGGAGGGTATGTTGAACAATCTTCAGAAACATATAGAGAGGGAAGAAATCAATTGGCGAAGTCAGCTAGCAGCAAAAGAAGCAGAAATTGATCATTTAAAAGAAACTCGTATGGCTCAGGTGTGTATTACTTATGTTACTTTTAAAAAAAAATAACATGCCTGGACTTGAGTGCCTGACATATATTACTTATTTCCATTTTAAGAGAACAAACTGGAAACAAAATTTTTTGAGGTTACTGGTTGCGCCAGACATGTTCGCATTGTTTTTCTGATAATGTTTTTAAGATCCTGTAATTTTTGCATGTTAACAAATAGAACTATGTAGAACCGGCAGAGGTGCAAGGAGTTGAGTTCGCCTACAAATGTATTGAAAAGTCGCTGCCACTGGTTATTGACGAGGTACGGTGAACTGTTTTAGAAAAAAAAACGCCTTAACAGTTCCTGTGGCTTCTCAATGTCGACCTTGAAAACAAATCAAGTGGTTCATTTATTGGATAAATAACAAACTGGATGAATCAACTTGTTTTCTTTTCAAAAGTATTGACATGACTAACGCTTATGCTATTGTTAATGTCTGCCCTTAGCTTTTTGCCGTACTGAATCGAAAATAACAAAATTGAATATTTTTCCATATAATTTTTGAGGAATCTTGTGATTGGGGTAGAAGAGGGGGAGAGTAATAATTGTGGTCACGTGGCCTAGTGAAAAGAGGGCACCATCAACTTATTTTTTCCAAATATAAAGGGGGACACGTGGTACCTGGTTTTGGGGAACGGCTAGTTTATCAATAATTATAAAGCCACTTCGAATCCTTCAGAATGGAGTTGTCAAATGTATATATAAATTGGATTATTTGGAACCAACAAGAAACCTTTATAAACCAAGTGAAATATTAGATCTTCAATCAATATATAAATTCAAAATATTAACATTCAGTCAAACACAATTATAAACATTCCAATTTGAATTTTAAAAGTAATGCTAATATGCATTCATATTCAACTAGACAAACAGACATGTTTTCCCTCATTAAAATCAAATCTGAATTTGGCAAGAGGACTATATATTACAATGGATTATTACTTTACAATGAATTGCCAACAAGACTCGAAAAAAATATCAATACCAAAAAATTCAAGATAGAACTCAAAAAGTATTTATTTGTCTGAATTTTGTCATGTCATCCATATTGAGATCATATAACATATCAATTATTTTAATCATTCATTCACTCAAACAAGGATCTGCTCAAACTATGAGAATTACTAGAATAATTTTAATACCTAATACTATATTTTGAACGTAATGCAATACATTATGGTTTATTTATTTCCCTGTTATAAACATATACGTCAATTGTTTCTTGGGAACAATTAAGATGATGATGATGATGATGAGTGCCCTTTGATTATCTCTTTAACAACGCTTCGTTTGTGCAAATCGGCCAAGCCGTTTCAAACTGACAAGCATTTAAAACTCTTCAAATGTTTTACAAATGAATAAAAAACCTAGATAACTTTTTTAATTGCAACAAAATTTAAAGTAAAAATTGTAACGAGTGCTCGAAAATGCTCGTAATGTTCACCGTTCACTTATTGACAGAAAAATAGTCGGTTTCGGAATTGCCAGTAAAACAATGCTTGCAGTCTGAACTCGCAGTTATCAATTCGCCCGAGTCGCTGTGATCATTATTGGTGTGACAAATCCGAGATATGTGAGTAGCACACCATATTATATTTCCACCGTGATTAAACTTATCCGAGATAAATTTCAAACGCTTGTCAGTTTGAAATGGCTTGGCCGACTTATACAATCGAAACGGTGTTGGATAGAGTAGAGCCACTGTATGGTATCAGTTATAGCGTATTCGACTGGCTGCACTATTGCGCATTCAATGCCAACTTATGTCGTGCGTGTGTGTTCGGCTATTATTTCTATTCGGCTCAACAGGCACTACTCAAGGGTAGAGTTTACAGTTTACAATAACAGATCGTTTCAAACTGTGAATACGGCAAAAAATCTAAATTTTCTTTTTGCTGCTCTATATAAAAGCACTGGAATACAATAGCAGAAAGAAGTAGTGGCAAAAAATCGTCATCGATTGTTCAACACACATTTCGAGCGATTGATAGGATGAAAAAAATGAATTTTAAAATAACATTCCAATTTTATGCAATCTTTAAACGTATGAAAAACTAAAATTTGACTAGTATGCTGGATTCGTCTTTCCATCAGCTTTCCAATGAGGGGTCACAAGCCATAAGGTAACATTTGAAAAAATCATGTTGAGGGTGGTTTCAGCTACCCCTGCAGGGATATATTCTCGATATTGCATGCAAAAGGTAGGTAAATACGTTATATCGTTGACGTTTGTCAAGAAATTTCAGAAAAAATATTCACCTCCCCGCTAACGAATTTATTCCAGTTAAAGTCTCCTCACTGTATATTTTTTTAATAGTTTGAACACTAACAGTTGTCATTTCTGTGTCCGAACTCTTATCTGACTAATACCATCCAGTGACTCTAATTTAAACTATTTTGAATGAAAAAGGGCGGGACGACTATGGGGCTCTCGTCACAATGCAAGCTGTGTAACTTGAAAATCTTTAACATTCAAAAACACTATCTATCCAGTGACTCTAAGATAGAGAATCGAAAGACCGTCAAAACCAAGGACCACGTGACTCACCTAATCTCGATGACTTGTTTCGTTCAAAAGTTGAAGAGGAGGGAGGACCTCTCACGTCCTCACTGTACCGGGTGCCCCACGTTATCGTATCGCTTATTTGACAAGATAATTGAAAAATTCAAAAACTGCATTTAATGGCATTGAAGTACCTCCCTAATGACATAAAAACCTCTATTACATTTGACGATGCTTCTCATGTCAAAGTAATTTTGAACACTTGCTGTGATTTTTAGTTAATTTTTTGAGTCACATAAAAGATCTTTTCGTTGAAATTCATACATCAAGTGTTACTGTTTTTGTTGTTATAATAATAACAAAATACCAAGTATATGCTATCGTTGTATTCCTTATAGGATGACACACCATTTTCAATGACAATATACAGGGGGTGCCATTTGAAAATAGAAAGTGGGGGATAGCTGCCAGAGAACTGTCAAAAGTAATAGATTCTTTATGTGTCATGGGCTGTTCATCCTGTTCGTTAGGAAGGTACTTCAATGCCATTCAATGCAATTTTTGAATTTTTCAATTATCTTGTCAAATAAGCGAGATATTGCATGTATACGATAACTTGGGACACCCGGTATATTCGTCGTAAATTGAATGAATAAACTACCATGGTCGTGAAATACCTCTTCGAAAAAATACAATTAGTCCAATAAATAAAGGGAAAAAGTTAACATTAATTACGCACTATTTTCATCTTCCGGTTGGAAGTAGCTTTTGGTACCTCATTAAACATGAGAAAAAGTTTGACTGGAAAACGCGTGCGATGGCGGAGAAAATGTCCCCAAAAGACCAGAAAAATCTCTATCTCCTAAAATATGGCAGTTAGAGATTTTCGGTTCAGATAAAAATTGAAGTTCAGTTAATTTTCTACAAAAATGATCCTTATTATTTTTCTCGAAAATTTGCCCGGTTTCGAGAAAAGCGGCACGAAGCGCACCTCGAATAATGAGCTTCTGTTGTATGCCGTAGAGCACAATCCCTGTATTTACACATCGGGGGGGGGGCAAATTATTCAATAACTTTGTTGAAAATGCATATTTTCTCATGATTCAAAGTTCATGTGGAAGAGGACTTCTGCTGCTATCATACCCTGTGAATTGAGTCACGCTTGACTCTTTTGGCCATATCGGAACATGGGTCAAACTTTCTGCTCCCGTTCAATTTTGACCTCGCCAGGAATTTGTTCCTATTTTTTTTGTATTGCAATAATTTACTCAAAATTTTCTTGATTATGGGTCCTCATAAGGTCCTTTGTCATCCCTGAAATTTGTATACACTAATTTTTTTTAATTTTCATTTAATCTTTGTTTATTGAATCCCAATTTTTTGCTGTTTTTGGAGCGCGGGGAAATTTTATAAACAACCATCAATTAAAAATGTATGCATGATCCGATTGGTTTCTATGATACATCATTTGAAAGCTAAGAAGGTCTACTTTTCGATTGTGCAATTACTTTTTTAGACGAAGTCGTCCATTTTTCAATAAAATTAGAAAAAGCGGGGTCAAGGAAAAAACGCACTTTTTTTTCCGTGGTTTTTTTCTCCGTCCTCTTTGTTTCTAACATTTTAACACCTTAACTAGTGTGACGGGGGAATTCCCACCTTTCCATCGATGTATATAAAGTCATACCTTTGATATCCCGGGAAAAAACCAGTATATCTAAATGTACACGCTATAATTTATTACTTTCGTTCCTCCGTCGTTCGCCGCGTGTGTGCTCTACGTGGCGCTCGGGTCGTCTGCTACAAACCATGCGGCCACGCAGGGTATGATAGCAGCAGAATTCCTCTTTCACATGAACTTTGAATCATGAGAAAATATGCATTTTTAACAAAGTTATTGAATAATTTGTCCCCCCGCCGATGTGTAAATACACTGACTGTGCTCTCCGGCATACAACACAGAAGCTCTTTATTCGAGGTGCGCTTCGTGCCGTTTTTCTCGAAACCGGGCAAATTTTCGAGAAAAATGATACGGACCATTTTTGTAGAAAATTAACTGAACTTCAATTTTTATATGAGCCGAAAATCTCTAACTGCCATATTTTAGGAGATATTGGCTGAAAACCTATTTTCCTGGTCTTTTGGGGCCATTTTCTCCGCCATCGCACGCGTTTTTCAGTCAAACTTTGTCTCATGTTTAATGAGGTACCAAAAGCTACTTCCAACCAGAAGATGAAAATAGTGCGTAATTAACGTTAACTTTGCCTTTTTTTCCTCCTTCATTTATTGGACTAAATATACACTTTGGCAGTAAACGATTTCATTACTATTATCCCTCACTTGATCCTTTGCGATATAATGTTGGTCCCTGGATTATTATTATGATATTCTTCACCATTGTGTATGAATAACTACATATTATGTATCCCTGTTATTAATTTTCCTTGTGAAGACAATCAATCAATATCATTTTACAGTTGCAGAGTAAAGTTATCAGCTTAGAACAACAGTTGTCGAATGAGGTGGCCGAGAAGCAGAGGTTGCTGCAAGACTGTCAGTTGCTGAAGAGTCAGGCGCCCCAAAAATCTACGCCCAGGGCGGCTGATCCTACGGCGACAATAGAGAAGCTCTCGGAAGTATGTTGTATGCTTTTGCCTTTGTGACTGAACTGAGGTATTGTAATTTTTCTATTTTTTTTGTATCGTAGGAAGTAAATCGCTTGAGAGAACAACTAAGAGTAGAACAGACTAAAAACGGGGATGTCGCTGTTAGCATCAAAGTAAGTTTTAGATTTTACATTGAAAAAATAACAGGAGTACTATAACACAGTTTTTTCTTCTAGGCTAAAACTTGCAGTAATCCGACAAATGGAACTACATTCATAGAGGTAATCATAATTTGTCATCTGATAATCTATTTTATATAGGCACTCAGATTTCTAGCAAAAATTGATAGCTCCAAATTTATAACATTCCTTTTGGTCTTGCCATAGTCTGGTTAAAATACTTGATTCTTCAAAAGTGCCCAATAAAATTAATTTGACCTTCATTTTTTTCAAATATTTGAAACAAAAAACATCTTGTGCATTTGAATAGTTTTGGATAGATGTTTTGAATAATTCCATTTATATCTGGAAGTATCAGAATTTGATAAAAAACTGAGAAATAAATCTGAAACTAAAATATCGAGTTATTGTGGATGACTTCTAATGATGTAAAGGGGGGAACGTTCCCGGGCCAATCAGCGCGCTTCATCCGCTTGCTTTGATCCCTGTCAATCAGCGCGCGTGTATCGCATGTATATCCCCCTCTTTGGTTTTGGAATTTGATTTAGTTAACACATTCTTTTCATTGGGTAAAGGGTAGTATATTTTTGGTATTTCACAGAAAATTAGGTGTATACTTTATTTTGATTTATAGGTAATTTTTCTACAAACGTCAAAAAATGACAAGGTTCGCGCATTGCAGGTAAAACCTTTTATGGTCCTCAATCCTGCTAATATCCATGAAATCATTTATTTCTAAATTTTTACCAATAAATAAGGCTTATTAAACCAGTTCAACAGTATTTTTTATATAAAGCTAAGCATATTTCTGCTTTAGAACTGTTTTTTTTTGACGTTTGTGAAAAAATTTTGTTTGCAACTCATGCGTGAAATAGATCAAATCAACATTTCGCGCACTAGATACAAAAATAACTATTATATTCAAATAAATATGCCCAGAAGAAAATGCGAGGTATTAGATTTATCTCTTTATAAAAACGAATTGGAAAACTGGGACTGGCTCTCGGTTGAATTCGCTGAAATTTCAGTATGTTCTTGTGGGATGGCTCATTAGAAAAAAAATTTCTCTTTTTTTTGTCTTCTCGATATACCTATATATTTTCAATATTCAGTGCCCAAGAATGTGACAGAGAATTCTCGTTCAATACACAGAGTGTTTCTCAATTTACCCGAGAAATTTCAACCACAACTATAAGAAGTCGATTGTACAAAAAAAAACGTTATGAGATACATTATACAAGCTTCCACCTGGTCTGAAACTGATTCCTTCATTGATCAATCAAACATCATTCAAAAAATAAAAACTCGTTTTGTGATAAAGACATTGTCTTATAATGGTTGATTGATTTTTCACATGATTCAAGAATTCTGTCGAAAAACTATACTAACCAGAACTCTTGAGGTATGTTGTCAAATTGACAGAAAGGTACATAATATCATGGCTCATATAAGATATTTATTATTTATAGAAAGTCGCTCTCATGTACAGGGCTAGTTTTATCAATGTGAACCCCCCTTAATCTTCTCTGCCCTCCATCCAATAGAGAAGATTCAAAACCGATTTTTTATAATATTTTATATTGGTTTCAATCATATTGACAGAGTGTTGCAATATCAATTCATATGTCAGTTCAAAAAGTTTTGTATGCTTAGTTTTTGAGATATGAGTCGACAAAGTTGGTAAAAAAGTCGTATGGGGCCTATGGGGGTAGGATTGACAAGGTTTTAGTATAAATAAGTCAGCTATATGGGTATATGATAGGTTAAAACTATAATGTCTCACCAAAATATAACTTGTTGATTTTGGAATAGTTATTTTGCTAGAGAAATGATTTTTTTGACCCTGCGTCATTTACACTCTGATTTACTATAATTGATGTGATCCGTGAGTTCCGATCAATACATTTTTAACTTACTTTGTCTAATTTATACTAAAAAACAGTTATTTTTTCATTGTCAATTTCACCTCGATACGATGTTTTTACGAACTTTGTCGGATAAGGGTCGATAGCCAATTTTCCACGTTTTCGTGCGGGATCCTTTTGTAATTGTGAAAACAGCTGGCATGACACAGAAATGGCAAATAATTTAATAAAATGTGTGAAATGTTCCCCATCCGTAATGGGTCAAATGATACTGGAAGAGATTGTTGTTCTATAAAGTACCTGTATCTCATGAACATTGCATTACATAGGAAAAGGAAAAATATAAATCATGCAATGTGTCTAAAAAAAAATTCTAAAATTGTTCTATCCGTCATTCGGTTGCCTCCTTACGAGCAACCCTCAAAAGTCTTCGAGAGTCTTGTGCGAACAAGGAATGACGGGGGCCTTACCTTTTAACGTGTGATCCCAAACACTTTCTTGGGCCATCAGAAAAATTTCTGCAGTCGATGGGAATCGAACCCACGACCGGCAAGCGAATGCGAATTAAAATATTGACAATCTGTCCGCACAGCTACCTGTCTAAGATAAAGATATCATTAAACGTCAAAGGTCAAAATTCAACGCGGCACCCATTCAAAAAGTGGTTATGCTCTTTTATCCTCGTTTATGCTCGGGGAACGTTCTCACTTACATCACTAGATTGAATACCATTATCCAATAATTAATTATATTGTGAATTTCTATCATTATTTTTCAAAAAAACACTATTGAAAGTAACTTGAATACTAATTTATTTTTACTGACTCACTGTTATAATGTTTTTTTTGCAACCCAACTTTTTTAAATGCCTGCAATTACAAAGTAAAAAGAAATCTTTCACGTTCAAATTTTCAATAAAATGATTAATTTCAAGACCAGGAATAATCAAATTAGTGAACTATAGTTTTAATAGTGGTACGCTATTAATTTTTGCTCATAATTTCATAGGAGTCTATTGAGTTACTACTTTACTAATTATTTCAAGATTGAATTAACCCTATTTTATGCTTACTAACTTCTTCATCCAGCACTGTCTATCTTCATCGTCTAGTATCGCTTCATCTCTTATCGAAGAATTTAACAAAAAACCAAAGAACAAAAAAAGAAAGAAGAAGGTATTTGATTTACTTATCAATATTATGAACACACTAGTGCATGCTATGTATGTTGAGAGGATTTAATTTAGTAGCTTTATAGGTTTGCATTCCTTTGTTTGCATGTAACCAATACGAATTTTTATTTTGATTTATTTGTGTTAGTGACGCATCCCCAGTATATTTTGTGCTATAAATACAGTAAACAAAAACTGCACCCCATTACGTTTATTTGGGGGGAGGGGGGTAGTTTAGCTTTTCACTTTTGTTAATTTATTGGAAGTATTTGTTTAGAGCATGTAACAGTATTAAAATTAAAGATGAAATAACATTAATAACAATCAATACCACTACACTGTTTTATCACTAACCAAACCGATTTTTTAACATCTCCACATGTATTGAAAGTTAAACAATCGGTGTGGTTAATAGTTGAACAGTGGAGTGTGATTATCGTGCCATAGGTTCCAGTTTTTGATATGTATATCAAAATTATTATTTTACTGAGTACTGATTTCTGTACTTGAAATGGGGCTCAACAATAATTCATAATTCAATGTTCGACGTGGCAAACAGCCAGGAAGTAATAGTTGTTTTCTGTTGAATATTCAGAATGATATTATGTGCATATACATATTTTTATCTGAAAGAGAATACAAATTCTCAGCTTAAGAAGATTTTGTATTCAAATTCTTAGCATGTATGTTAAATCGTTACCACCGATACAACAAGGCCTGCATGCTCCGTGGGTGACGTCACTTAGTCAGGCCTAACCAGCGGCTCGAAACGACAAGCGCTTATAGCGCTATAAGGCGACCGCGTATTTCGATTTTAGTTTTAGATCATCATTGAGCCGATTTTGCTGTTTTTTGAAGGGCTTCTGGTTAAAAAAGGATGCCAGTCGTCAACTGAGCCCTTCTTCGCACCCCATTCGATTTTATTATGGAAAAACGAAGTTTTAAAGCAAAAACCAGGATAAAACACAAATAATCACCTACAGCAACCCATTCGAATTAAATATATTGGCAAAAATTGTGGTGAAGGTAAACTTCACACCTACTTACAGGGCCCGCAGAACATAAACTTATCGTGAGATTGATCGAAAGAAAATTGTGGAAAATGTATTTTATTTTGATTGACATGCCGTTTGTTACAATTACCTATATTTATCTTGGAGAATTCCTATTACCTGAAAAAATAACCAGTGAGTGTTTTCAATTTTCTGTTGTTGGATTTTTCACCCAAGTGGATCGTTACACTTGAAACCGTAATTTTTAAGGGTAAAACTGCATTTATCATGCGATGTTTTTTTTTTGAAAATTGTTCTCGGTACTCACGTATTTTTGTCTGATAAACCGAATTTTATAATGAAAATGTGAACAAACCACTATTTATTGAGATATTTAAAGAAAAAGTTCGAAATTTCGCCTTCTTTCTCTCCTTGTGTTGGGGGCATTTGAAGCTACTTGCTCTCATTTTGTCATTGGACACTTTATATACTCATGATGTACTTCGATGGCACATTTTCATATAGAAAATTCAACAGGAAATATGATTTTTATGGCGAGTTTTTCATATTTAGTGAACAAGCATTCCAGATGACGACCATTTAATCAATAGTCAATCAAAATACGAGATGTCAAATGTCAATAGATTGCTTTCGAATGACATTACACACGCCATTATTTTGAATGATATTCTTCCTTCTTTTCACTAAATATGGATTAATCTCAAGAAAATCATATTTATAGTTGAATTATGTATAAATTGTCCAATATGATGAAAAAAGAAGGGAAATTTGTTCTAAATGCCATCCAGAAGACAGGTGAAAAAGAAGGTGAAATTTGGAACTTTTATGCAGTTTTACCTTTTTTGGGTAGAGTGTTTGTAGTTCATGTTAATATGATCATCATTGGAATGAATTCTGCATTCATTGCCACGAGGCAAATGACCGTTTTCAGAAAGAAATTTGAGAATGAGAATTAAAAATGCCCGTTTATCATGAACATTCAAGAAAATTTTCTCGAATTCAGAGATGTTTTGTTGACTTTAATATACGAATACATAACTAACTGCACAATCAAAGCTTTTCTATTTTTCCTATACTTATACTTTTTATGAGAGAGTAATTGTCTTCTATTATTAATTCATCATTATAAATTAAGCTCTGTTTACCTACTGTTTACTACTGAACTTAGATGGGGTAAAATCCTCGCGGTGAATTGCATATACTTACCCACATTTTCGATAGCTCCTCGTCCAACGGGAAACTAAAAGCATGAACTTTTGAACCACCCACATAATTCCCCCGACAAAAGGGAACACAACACTTGAAAGGCATTGTTATTTCGCCGATCACAACACAAAATATTTCACAAAACAGTAATTTTTCCGCCAATTATTTTGATGAATAAACAACAAAAGAATTCGGGACCGTTTCAAAAACATACGTGAATCACCGATGAATTAACACGAACTGACGCGTTAGTCGACAAGCGATAAAATAAAACACTGGCCTCACTTGGCGACGTCATGAGCTGTTTACGTCAGAGTCTGCTGGCCTTGTTGTATCGGTGGTAACGGTTAAATAGATATAATTCAATGTCCATCGTGGCATATAGCCAAACCGAGAAAGAATTTCAATACTTTCACCCAATCAAGAGGTTCAAACTTGAACGATGAAAACTTGTTATTTTTATAGACCTTTAATCGCAGATTCGTGATTAGATACATCCAATCAATCATTATTTCTGTTAATGAATTGAGCTTTTTACGGATACTCCTGTATGTAGAATTGATTTTCTTACTAACCGAATTTTTTAAGGTCCCAACAATCAGAAATGCCAGCATTTGTTCAAATATGGGGTGTCAGTTTTTATATTGTGATGGCAATAACTGTGGAGGAAATTTATAAAGTGCTGAAAAATCCTTTTTGTAAGGTATTTATTACCTTGAATACAAATTTAAAAAATATCCATTGTTCATAATTCCAATGTTGATTGTATTTTACTTTTATTATATCCTTCCTTTCTGTTACAGGGCAGTGGTGAGTTGCACTAATCACTAGTGTTAAGCCTAAATTCTGATTCAACGATTGAGGCAACAATTCATTATATATACTTAATTTTTGATTATTATTACAACTATCATGAAAAAAAAATACATTAATCATTCCCTGGTTAGGTTATTTGTGCAATAATTTTTGTTCAGTAGTTTGTTATTTACACAGCATTTTGTATTGTATTATTAGTGGATAGCATTTCTGATGAAATGGTTTTCTATATGCCTTTTTAACTATGAGATTGAAATTAGGATAAGCAGACTTGTAAAGTAAAAAAGCGAGATATATTAATAACAATTTAACTATAGATTTTGTCACTTGCTTTATTCAATTAGTGAAGAATACAAGCTTATGAGGAATGTATCCGATTTTAGTTACATTTATAGTATATTCTTGTACGAAAATTTTTCTGTCAGACTAAGACCTAATTAAATATTAATATTTATTAGTTTTGTATATTTCCTGGTTCAATAAAAAATATTTCAAATTGAATCCCTTGTTTTGACAAACAAAAACAAACATATGAAACAAATTCGTATATTTCTATTACAAATAATTATTGTGATTTTCACAACATATAAAAATATTTTCCAGGGGTGTAAAATATGATCAGATTAAAGAAAACATGGAAGCATTTCAATTATTATTTGTGAACTTAATGGTAAAAGTTGTTTCACATTCAATGTTTATTTATTTTCACTTCACATGACAAAACTTTTCAAGTTATCAAATGTTGAACCTTAATTAATATGTTAGATCATTTATGAATAATACAATGATCTGAGTGTTTCATCACAAAAGTTTCACAAAAAAAAGATTCTCAAATGCATGTCCAACTTTGTGATGACTTTTCCAATTTGAAAAATGCATTTGCCCAAATGTCCTATTTATATCATGGAATTGAAAAAATTATCACATTGGTGTATAGTCCAACTGTACATATAGCTGTCTCACACCAACTGATGCAAAGATCATCTGAGTATGTGATACCACATACTTAGGATCAACAGTCTTTGACACTTCTAATTTGATAGCACCTACATAAACATCACTACAAAGTGTCCAAAAGTGAGGCTCTTGAACAGAGTAAACCCCTGCTAAACTCACAACTTTTTGATAGCATTGTGGCAGCACATTATCAAGAGAAACAGGTTGCCTCTGCATCAAAACCATGATTGAATCTTTTATAAGAGCCAGCACACTCAGTGCTATGAGTATAGAAATAAACATGGAGCAAATTGGATCTGCAATCATCCACCCAAACATCTGCATGAGAATGGCAGAAATGATGACACCCACACTGCCCAATGTATCTGCTAGAATGTGAAGGAATACACCTTTCATTATTTGTGAATTGCCACTGTCTAATTCCATGTCATGAGCATGATGATTGTTTGCATGAGAGTGCCCATGAGATGATCCTCCATGTGAATGGCCATGAGATCCACCCCCATGAGAGTGGCCATGTTGAAATGCATAGATTCCCACAAAATTAACAAGGAGGCCCAAAACAGAGACCACAAAAAGTCTTTCATGTTTAACCTGAAACAGCCACATATTAAAATATCAAAGTTAGATGTTTCCTTTGTATAGTCTTACCTCTGGTGGTTCTATTGCTCTCTCAACTGCCTCTGACATTAAAAAGAATGATATGAACAGTAAGAACAACCCATTTACAAATCCGGCCAAAATTTCTGCTCTAACATACCCATAGGAATATTTATCATTTGCTTTCCATTTGGTTATCACAGATGCTGCTAGGCCAGCCATGAGTCCTGTACAGTCAAAGAACATATGGAAGGAATCCGAAATTAAACCTGAAATGAGGTGTTTTATGGTGAAGTCATGCATGACTTGACTTGAAAATTATAAAGTAATTTAGTAAGAACTGTTGAGTTCGAATAAATTGAAAATTAAGTAGAATTTAGAAATTATTTCAACTGACCTAAACTATTGCTCCATACTCCATAAAATAACTCAACAAAAGCAAAGGATAGATTCAGAATCAGGAAAAGAAAAAGATTCCTGGAATTCCTATCTGAAAATATGAGTCTAATCCATCCCTGTAATTTTTCCTTAATTCTGGAGCCAAAGCCTCTATGGTAGGATTGGAAGGAGTCTTTATGTGACATAGGCAACATCTTGCCAATGTTCAATGAACTGCTTCAATAACAATAATATGGAATACTTTTTACACCATTATGGATAGATACCTCTTGAAAAACCAATTGATTACGTGTCCGAAAACAAGCATTTCTAGATTATTTTAATAAAACTGTGACACAATTACAACGGTGAAAAATTCTATAACGTTTGTTGTGGAAAACAATCAACTTCACTTCTTGTGCTTTGAGTTTTGAGCCAATACTTAGTAAATATTTACAGCTCCAACCGGCTGATAAAAATCTTAAGTAGCTGCTCTGCCATCATGCAATTTTGGCAGTTCACCATTTCAGGTTTTGATTTTAATGTTTTTAAGGTTTTTATTGTCATATATGACAGTTGACAGATTGTGTCACATCCTCAACCTAACGTCATGCGTGGAAAACTCTGTCAATGTCGTTAGAGAGTGTATTATGGTTGTTCATGGATCATGGATGGAATCTCAATAGTGAATACAACTGGAAGGGAGACGGCCGTTCTCTCGAATAGCACAAAGTGTTTTAGGGCGTTGATTGATATATTACGCTTACGCTGGGGTAATATATCAATCAACGTTTAGGGACAGCTGCAACAAAGATAGCATGATTTACGGTAACCTGTCTCTTTCCTACTCGTGTTGTTTAATGGTGGATTGGTGTTGCTTTTATCAAATAATTAAAGTACTTTAGATTTTTTTCACACATCTAAACAGGCAAGAAAATGAAGACATAAGTTCATTGTCTTTGTTTATGTGAAATATCTATTCATTTGGCGTGTTTTGTTTTATAAGAAGGACTATTGGTGTAAAGAACTGATTGTTGAGAAAGTTTTGATAAACAATGGTGATTTAGGTATTGTGTCACCATCTGACCATCTCTTTTGGATGCAAGAACGAGCAAGACAAAAGGAAATTGTCATTCCATGGGTAAGTTGAATATTGTTCAGATTTTTGGAAAATATAGTTCTTGAAATAATCATCAGTGTGTACAATGTTCCCAGTCTCAGAATATGTTCAAAAACTATACCTATATTATTTGTCAAAGTTAAATACTCCCATGACTTTTCCATAAACATATCAAGTAATATTATATGTTGCAGTTTTCCATTCAGACATTCTTGAATTATGGATTTAAGGCAGTTCATAGAGAGAGTTAGACTCCATCTGCCATCTAAAACCAGCAAGCTTTGTGGAGAGCATTTCCTGCCAACTGAGTATTTATTTATACATACAAGGTACTGCTAGGTGCTAGGTTATTGAATTGAAACCAGATGCTGTACCCAGTATATTTTCATTTCCTAAGCATTTGTTACCAAAAAATACTGATTCTTGAAGGAAAATAAGAAAACTCATAGGTACCTAGTTGATTAATAATGAAAAAAAGAGTATGTTTGCACCTCTTTGAAATGAAAAACTAGCTAGTAATTTATTTTCAGGATGCATCTGTGGAAGTTCATAACATTGGGTCCTAAGGAAGATGTTTCTCATATTATGCAATTCACCTATGACTTCCAGCTCCCAAGTTTCGAAGTTCATCAATAATGAAACAATAATTGCGATTTTTCCATTGGGCTTGAATGGTCAATTCATAACAGGTTGATTATTCAATCTAAAACATATAGTTGGTATTAAATCTCAAATCATAAATGAATTGAGGGTTGAAATTCTAGCAGTTACATGGAATAAGAAACTGAAATGTATACGAAAACTTTTTTCAAATGCCGGTGCTGAAATGCGACATATTCTTCTTGAATGAACGAAACAGATAGCCAACAGTTTTCTCCTTAATGAAAAACACTATATATACCTAACCCACCAGACGCCTACCTCGGTTGTAATGAAGGTTCACCGACGCCAAGGGTTGATACTCTCCCCTCGTGAGGGTACCTGTCGTGTCTCCATGGAGACATAAAGGTGACTACTGAAACATTTTCTATGATATATCGCTTCCATAACGAATAATTGATTTTGAAAAAATATTCTTTATGAGTTGAATACAACACAGGAATGGGAAACTCATCGCCGGTTGCTGATTCTGTGCGATTTTTCCGAGGGGTAAATCACTGAGCAAATTCGTGTACACCAGACTGCCATTCATACTCGGACTGCCAAGACTGCCACCGGACTGCCACAGACTGTCGATACATACATGGTGAATCAGATTAAGGCAGGCATAGATGAACAAATTCTTAAACAGGTTAGGTTATCTGAGATCTATTTTCTTATTGAAATTTCGTGAATTCTTATTGGTTAAATACAGTATAAATACATTGTTAATAAAAAGTTGTATCCTCTCTTATGCAGAAAGAATATTCTCCTTCTTCATATTATCTATACAGGGTGATTCAAAAGTAAGCGGCATCCTTTCAGAGGCGTATTCCTTGCTTGAAAATAAGGCAAAAAGTTCCTATTGATAAGGATCCGAAAATGCTTCCTAAGGGAGCTACGGCCCTTTGAATAGGACACCTCAAAGACGGTTTTTTCTCTATAACTTTAAAATCCTTCACAACAAATTTTTAAAAATTGGTGTACGGCATAAACATTCGATGGTAAATAGGACTCCGTATTCGAAATTTCAGAATTTCATTCAGGGGCGTCACATGCGGGAGAGGGTAAGTGTAAAAATATCCCTTCTTCTCCGGATATTCAGGTTACTGTGATTTCGTTTGGAAATTATTTCGAATACGGAGTCCTATTTACCATCGAATGTTTATGCCGTACACCAATTTTTAAAAATTTGTTGTGAAGGATTTTAAAGTTATAGAGAAAAAACCGTCTTTGAGGTGTCCTATTCAAAGGGCCGTAGCTCCCTTAGGAAGCATTTTCGGATCCTTATCAATAGGAACTTTTTGCCTTATTTTCATGCAAGGAATACGCCTCTGAAAGGATGCCGCTTACTTTTGAATCACCCTGTATATTAGGTCGAGCTAGGTTAGATTGTTTAGAAAAATTAGTCTCCCTTCTTATGCAGAAAGAATATTTTTCTTCCTCATATTATATATCATGCCGAGTTAGGTTAGGTTGTTTGCAAAAAGAAGTCTCCTTCCTTTTTCGAAAATGATTATATTTTATGTCCTAGAATGAGTTCAAAACATATGAAACTTGATCTACCGTTTTATATGTTCCCTACTTTGCGCGCAATTACAGCATACCTTTTTTGGGACGCGCGTGCAATTGCACTATGGGATAAGAACGAGGATTAGGACCGAGATTAGGACACACTGTTGAGAATACTGACCGCTGCGCGCAATTGCAGTATGCCCATAATACACAAAATTTGCGTGGGTATCAACTCTGGAGCTTGAGATCCCCAAGGTGAACTTTTTTTATTCAGGCGATTCGGACAATAAATGACAGTTTTCCGTCCCATTGTAGGCGCCATCTAGAATTTCAAAACTTACTCGAAAATCATGATTACTCCAAGAATAACTGATTTCTTTTCCCAATTATAGGAATTACCTTTCGTGCGCTCCAAGAGATGAAAAAAAACTGACGCCTCCCTACAGAAGCCATCTTGTTTTTTAAAATTTGGACTCGAAATTCGAAATTGCCAATCTCGAGAACCCCTACGTGTACATTTTCCGGTAAATCAGAGAATAAATAACAAAGTCGCCGCCACCATGCAAACGCGCTCTTGAATTTTCAAATTTAGAATTCAGTTTGTGATAATTGTCGGATTACGAGAGAAGAGACGAGAGACCACCAGACTGCCACCGGACTACCACCGGACTGCCACCGGACTACCACCGGACTGCCACCGGACTACCACCGGACTGCCACCGGACTGCCACCGGACTGCCACCGGACTGCCAAGGACTGCCACCGGACTGCCACGGACTGCCACCGGACTGCCACGGACTGCCACCGGACTGCCACGGACTGCCACCGGACTGCCACGGACTGCCAAAAGAATGTACACCGGACTGCCCCAGTGATTTACCCCTCGGATTTTTCCGTTGGGCTTGAATGGTCAATTCATATAACACCATAATTCTTCAACCTAAAACATAGTTGGCATTTACTCTCGATTTAAAAATAAATTGGGGGTCGAAATTTTGAAGTAACATGGAATATGAAACTGAAATGTATACGAAAACGTTTTTCAAATTCCGGTGCTGAAATGCGACATATTCTTTTTGAATGAACGAAACAGATAGCCAACAGTTTTCTCCTCAATGAAAAACACTGTATATACCTAACCCACCAGGCGCCTACCTCGGTTGCAATGAGGGTTTACCAACGCCAAGGGTTGATACTCTCCCCTCGTAAGGGTACCTGTCGTGTCTCCATGGAGACATAAAGGTGACTACTGAAACATTTTCTATGATATATCGCCTTCCATAACAAATAATTAATTTCGAAAAAATATTCTATATGAATTGAATACGACACAGGAATGGGAAACTCATCACCGGTTGCTGATCTTATGCCTGGGTTCCTCTTCCTGCGATTTTTCCGTTGGACTTAAATGGTCAATTCATAACACGTTGATTCTTCAATCTAAAACATAGTTGGTATTTGATCTCGAATTATAAATAAATTGGTGGTTGAAATTGTAGAAGTAACATGGAATAAGAAACTGAAATGTATTCTAAAACTGTTCAAATTCCGGTGCTGAAATGCGACATATACTTCTTAAATGAACGAAACAGATAGCCAACAATTTTCTCCTCAATGAAAAACACTGTGAAACTTATCACCGGTTGCTGATTTTATGCCTGGATTCCTTTTCTGTGCGATTTTTCCATTGGGCTTGAATGGTCAATTCATAACACGTTGATTCTCGAATCTGAAACATAGTTGGTATTAAATCTCGAATTATGAATGAATTGAGGGTTGAAATTGAAGAAGTTACATGGAATAAAAAACTGAAATGTATATGAAAACTGTTTTCAAATTCCCGTGCTGAAATGCGACATAGTCTTCTTAAATGAACGAAACAGAGAGCCAACAGTTTTCTCCTGAAGGAGAAACACTGTGAAACTTATCACCGGTTGCTGATTTTATATCGGGGTACCTTTTCTGTGCGATTTTTCCGTTGGGCTTAAATGGTCAATTCATAACACGTTGATTCTTCAATCTAAAACATAGTTGGTATTAAATCTCGAATCATGAATATATTGGGGGTTGAAATTGTAGAAGTTACATGGAATAAGAAACTGAAATGTATATGGAAATTGTTTCAAAATGCCGGTGCTGAAATGCGACATATTCTTCAGA